ATTTACAATTTTTGTATAATAAACTCTTAGTGAATTTATTATACAATTATTTAGATTTATTCATATAATGTTTGGTCCGCTAATTGTTAGATCTATTTTATAACACCTTCACTCTCTAATTAAAACTAATTTTAATAAAGTATCGTATATAAGAATAATAAACTCTATAAAACAGCATTTTAAACTTAAATAAATTATTTGTTAGAAAACAAGTTCAGTTTTTTTATTAACTGATGATACAATTTTAGCTGCGTGACTTTTATTAATAACTATTGAAGGAAATTATTAAATTACTCTAGGTAGATAGAATTAAATTGTTAAAGAATTTTAACATAAATCTGAAAATATAATAAATATAATAAATAACGTTACTTAAAAATTTTCTTACTATTCCAAAATTCCTCAACTGGATTTTCATAATAAAATTGAGGTATTTGTTTTATTCAAAAATTCAAATTCATTATTTTTATAGCTTTATTACCATCGTACTAGTCAGCTCAATGATTATACTAATCAACATGTCTAATATTATATTACCTTTGGATTTTAATCAAAGCAGGTATATACAACGCTTATTGTGAACATTTATTACCTCAGTTTAACTATTACTAACTAATATGTAATCTAATTACAATAAAATAAAACTGAGTTACCAACAAAATTCAATATTATAAATTTGTAAATCAAATTTATAACGTATCAATATCTAAAAAATTTGGAATATCCAATTGATCTGTAAAAATTTCAGAAAGATGCCATTTCGCAGTTTGGTTAATAGCAGGGTGTACTAGTAAATTATTTGACATTTCAAGTTCTTCTTGATTATTCATATTAACCAGGTTAGTTTCTTTATTTAACATAGAGTCATCATCTGCATCATCTTCATCCTCAATCAATAATAGCCATTGCTCTACCAAACATCTCCACGAATCTACTGAATTCACTTGGTCATCAGCTTTATTATTGATATCTATATCTGTATCTTCTTCAGATGACACATTACAGTAAGTTCTGCTTTCACTAAAATTATTATTTTCTTCGTGATTGCTTTCTTCATTACATTCAAATTCTTTATAATTTTCAAATCCTCAGAATTCTTCATAATTTTCAAATCCTCTGAATTCTTCATAATTTTCAAATTCCTCTTGAAACTCATTACTCTCACGACTTGCATTTATTCTATAACCTTTGCTTAGATTATCTGATTTAGAAGTATCATTTTAGCTAAGATTTACATTTAAATTTGAGATTTTCTCGGTTCTTCTGACTTGTTTCATTTCGTAATGTAAACTTGTCATTAAAACCACTTTATCATACTATTAAATAAAATAAAATAAACTATTAGTATAATTGATAAACATTACTAGTGAGATATGGGTTACTTGAACAAGTATGGTACAGATACAATTTATTATAAAGTATGGTAACTAAAACCATACTTTATAATAAATTGTATTCATACTATACTGATCAAGTCATCCATACCTTACTAAGCTGCTATATATCCATTAAATGCAAACTTCGCTAGAAAAATTGAAGGCCAAATTATACAATTTATATTCTTGAATTTTTATTTTCTAATAAAGATCCAAATTACCTTCAGCTGATTCCTTCTTGGACTATGGATCTACTCCATAATTGAAAAGATTCGTTTAATAAATGCAGAGTTAACAGTAATAGAAAAAATGTGCTGCGCTACTTTATATAGCTCCTTACTATAACCTTTGACATATTTCCAAAACTGTAAAATATTATCATCAAATTGCAAATATATTTCTGTATCGTATGGATATTGACCTTCGCTAAATTTAAACAGTTCAAACAAAATATGCTTCAGTGATTCTTCAAACCATACTTTGTAATAGTAGGATACTCATGTCTCAAGGTACGAATATGACAAGTTTATTAAATCTGAATTAAAGTAAATATCATGATATTTGAGGTGAAGAAGAAAGAAAATAATAATGAGAGGTTGTTCCCAGGTAGCCTATCTCTTTTCCAATTTTTTTGTCAATGTAAGAGCCAGTTCTTGATTAGGTAAATTTTTCAGAATCTTTGATACCTAACTAAAACAATGTAAAATTTCATAGAGCTTTGCATTATTATATTGTAATTTATTCAATGTAATGCAATAAGGCAAAAGAAGAGACTCCAGTTGTTTAATTTCTTTTCACCATGTTGGTGAAATAAGATTTGACAATATATCATCAGGAAAATCATGTAAATCGTTATCATCAAATTCTTTAATTTTATGTGCAAGATTCTACATTCAATTAAAAAAAAACATATGTTAAAATATATCATAACCCTATAAAAAATATTAATCTGTGTTTATTATTCCATGTTTTTTCTATGAATATATCATTTTCATGGAATTTATAACCTTAAATCATAGAAATTTTTGTCTCCCTAACACGAATATCTGTAAATGTATCATTTTCACAGAATTTTTATGGAGGCTACAGAGAAATAATGGAAATATTCGGATAAAAATTTTTTATAAGATAAATAAACTAATGATACATACAATACCTTTAATGCTAATTTTGCTCTAAGTATACTGGCAAAACAATAATAATAGGAGTTCTATCGCATATTGTTTAGCATTGCTAGTAAAAAATGTTTACTATTATACGCAAATTCCTGCTCATTACGTAACTTTTCCAAAAAAAAAGTTGATCTATTAAAAAAGCAAACTAATTTTATAGCTTGCTCAGAAGTTGTTTTAAGAGATGATGATTTACAAAAAATATCTGCAATACAAAGGTTCATTTGATGCGTGAAATATGAGAAAAAAATTTTGTTTCACAATTCCAATTGTAATCTAGTTCTAATTAATAAAATTAGAATAAATTTATTAGAATAATTTAATAAATTTAATAAATAAATCATTAGATAAATTCAATTGCCTCTTAAACTTTTTTTATATAGAAAAAAAAATAATAATTACAAGTCACAGTAATTTCTCTAAACTAAAAATTTTAAATATAAAAACTATATTATTAGAATATTAAATAAAAAATACCTAGCCGCTTGATATGCTGAAGCAGAGTCAGTAACCATAGCATTTATTTGAATATTTTCTTGTTCTATTTCTGAAAGAAGATGTTTAGTTTTTGCAATAATATCAGGCCAACAGGATCTTGTTCTGCTTATATCTTCTGCTCCTTATACTATAGTTTTGCCATCAGAAGTAACTAATGTGCTATCAAGTAATAACTGTTTTGTTACATTTTTTTAGCTGTCAAAATTAATATCATACTGCATTTGTCTTCAGACATAGTGTTAATCTAAACCATTTTTAGATCTTGCATAGCTCTATTTAAAGTAGAACCTGAAAGAACCGACCTTCTGGGAAGTTTTATTGCAGGATTTACAAATTTAAAAAGGGCTTTGATTTCAGAATCTTCTACCCACTGAAATGCGAATCTACATGAAATTGTTGCATGCAATAAAAGATAATTAAGTTTTTTTTGTTGATTGTTATTTAATGGTTTAGCAAAATAATTATTTAGTGTTTCATTATCATCTAAAACTTGATTAGATAATCTAATATGCTTTGAAAGACTAGAAGCAATTACAGATTCTGACTGAGAAGACTCTTAATAAAAATTACAAATTAAAAAATAAATTAAAAAATAAATTAAAATATAAAATAAAATAAAATAAAACATCAATGTTAACAGTAAAAAAGAAAAATTAAAGTAATAGTAAAAAAAAAAAAAAAATTAAAGCAATAGTAAAAATAGAAAAAAAAATTAAAGCAAATAATAAAAAATCAAAGCGATAGTAAAATAATAAAAAAATTAAGATAACAGTAAGATAAAAAATTAAAGCGATAATAAAGTAAAAAAAAAAATTAGGATAGTAAAATAAAAAAAAAAATGGTAGACAAAATTTTTTTCGTGATAGTAAATATAACTTAAATTAAAACTTATGCAATTGAGACGTTGAATTATCTGTAGGTTCTAAAATTTCTTTAATTTGTTCTGGTGTATGTTGTCGAATAAAATATTGACAAGCTTTAAGATAGTTTTTGCATATTTTTTGCGTGTTGGCAAATTTATTTTCTAAAGCTTTTCGTAACTAGTTGCAGCAATACAAAATCGACAAACTGCATACTTGTTACTTTTATTTGTTTTTAGATTTATGATAGTAAAATACTAAGATAAACGATGTGGTTTACAAGTCATTAAGCAAAAAGATTATTTGAGATTATAACGGCAGTAGTGGTAAAAATAGATATTTAAGTAATACAGCAATTTAATTGGTCAACTTTAATTTTAAGTAATACTAAAATCTGATTGGCTAATCTGAATTGGACCTATTTAAACCTGGTCCAATTCCATTAGTTCCATATTCCAATTAAATTTTAATTGGAAGCTTCCAATTGACAACACTGCTACTGTTATAACATAAAGTTATTTTGGCAGGAAAATGATCTCTTTTGAATTATATTTATAGAAATAGAAAAAAATGTAAAGTTGAACAGCAGAACGAAGTTGTTATATTTGAGTACTTTGCACATAATTGATATTAAAAGAAGTAGTCTTAGAACAGATGCTATTCATTCATATATGTGTATAAATTTTTGGTAAGAATAGTATCATTTAAGGCCACAATCAGCTATCTTAAAGCGTTAGTAATGCGTTAGTAATAAATTCATGTAAATTATAAAATGCTAAAGAACGGTATAAATTAATTGTTATTAAAAAACTATTAAAATATTTTTTTTTTATTAGCGTTAGTGTTAGATATAATAAAATTTTGATGATTTTATTAACTAGTAAAACCCAGTTGACTGTTTCAGAGTGCTAGTTAAGAATCTTAATGATTGGAATTGAATATTGAACCCTGTTGAACCAAGACTTGGGAAAGAGCGTTATCTTTAGCTTCCAACTGAAGCATACAATTAGTAAGAGTACAATTCAAACCCATACTTATCTTAAACTCCAGTATCACCGTAGCAAGACCAGAAGACCTTGAACCTCAGACTATAGTTGTTAGACAAAACCGGAGAGTGTCGAGATAACTTCATAGTTTAAATATACTACATTAACAAGATTCCCACATGATACGTAATGTTTGATCACACTAATTTGAAAAGCACTGTAATTTTTAATGCTGAATTTTGACAACCAGATGCTTGTTCGCTTCTAAAGTTTAAAGGATTGCAAATACCAAAATTTTAAAAGTATAATTTTATTTTAAGGCAAAGTTTGCTTCTCACTTTGCTTTTTGTCACAGAGTTAAAGAAAAAATATATATTAGTGTGATAGGACAAGTGTGTTACGGCATCATGCAGAGATTCTAGAAAACTAAATTTTATTTGTTCTAGAAACCTAATGGAATATGTAAAAATTTTTTTTGTAATACCGTCAAGAACTATCTATAGACAGTTTGTGTATCTATCTTTATATGGCGATGATATGATCAATTTCTCCATATAAAGCCACATTAAAATTATATTATGTTTTTTAAAATCGTAACTCCTCAATGAATAAGTCAAAATTTGCAAAAAAAAAATGCGTTATATTGTAAAACTTATATAAGACTACAATATAACGCATTTTTTTTTGTAAATTTTTAAGTATTCATTGAGGAGTTACAATTTTGGATGTCTTTAGATATTGTGCACCGTATACGTATGCACTACGTAGATTATACAATAACCAACATTCATACATACAAGAAATAAGATTACACTACATGACTACATACGACAAAAGTGATTCATTAAAAACATATACGTAGTTCTAAATAGTTCTTAATAATAATATTAATTCCATTGCGCATCAGTTAATTTTTGATGATAGATGAATAACTTACATTCATGTTTTTTATTTTGACAACAGATACCAAAGTCAAATAATCTATGTTATCATTCATATTTTTATGCTCGACACCAATATCATTACATTATTATCTTTAGGGAATACAATGAATTATTAAGTAATTAAAATGGTGTGTCATAAATAAAGCTAATAAGTTGGCTTCTTGATTATTTAACATAACATTATGCTCTAGGAGAGAAAATTAGTCCTAAGCAGTTAGACCATAAAGTTAATTATCATAATGTGTTCTAAATTTATTTTGGTTAATTAAGATTTCTTAATATGAAGTTGGTGATACCGAGGTCGTTAATTAGGGTTACATTATTTGTGGCATAATTTTAAGAAATATTAAATATTGGCTTTGGACTACATTCTTACGGACAAAAAAATTTAAGGAGGTTATTTATAGATTTGTGCAAATACCAATAAATACACCAGAGCATTTTATTTTCTCATAGAATGAATACACTTCAAGTATACTTGTGTGGTTTTTGAAGATAGCGAAATTGTTGTACTGTACATCTATACCTTACTTAAATGCTAAATACTACGTACACTTGATAATGTGTGTGACAGACTGAAATCTTATACGTACGTATATTTAATTACTTACTGTAACATACGGATTTTTCATTGCTTCAAAATGTCAAAAATACTAAGCAATCTAATTGTTGAACAGTCAGCGAAAATTAACAGTTCATCGGACGATATTAACCAAATAACCAATAATTTTA